CGCTTATGGCATAATGTTTTGGGGTTTTTATTTAGAAAGGGTTTTGCGGCACTCGCAACTGCATAAGGCTATTTGAGTGCACGGAACACATTAAATGTTTCAGTTTGGTAGGAATTAGTTTTGATTCTTGCCCGGATAACAGCTGAATCCTACTCTTTTCGATTTTGGGACTACCAAGGTATCTTTAACGTGCGCAACTTGGACACAGAACCTCCAAGAATTTTTGCCCTTATCCGAGAAAGCTGGGTGTTAGATCTTACCTACCCTAAGATCAGAGATGTGGCTGAAAGACAGCAGTAAGAAGGAGTAAAGAAGTAGCATGCAGGTTCATAATCCAGGCCGTGGGCGAGGGAGAGGCCGGGGCGTCGGCAAAAAATGAGGATGAAACCAGATGACAGAACATGGTTAGAAAACAGGAAAGAACGTGAAAGGAGAACATTTTAGACAAGAACATTTTTCATCGCAGTAAGGTTTCAAACTTGGTACAAATTGATTGAAAGGCAAACACAGTATCTGTAGACCACGAGAGCCCCCTAATCTAGGATATTACGATCTGGGACTACGTTAAACAAGTCACCGAGACACACGTATCATCACTGGCGAAAAATGTTCTTTAAATATTTTACCTCTCTCTATTTCAATTTGACAGTGAATTGATAATCCAAATGGTGTCCTTAGATTTACGATGTTTACTGCCACATGTTATTTAAGTAGACATTACATTGCTTTCTTTTTTTTCTTCTTTTTGTTTTGTTTTTGTTTTTGTAAAGTGTTTTACGGCGCTAGCAACTGCATAAGGTCATATGAGCGCGCGGGACACACCTAATATTTTCAGTTGGTAGGAAATTTTGAATTTTGCCCGGGTGGCGGCCGAAGCCTACTCTTATCGATTTTTGACCATCAAGGGATCTTTAACGTGCGCAACTTGCACACGGGCCCTCCGAAATTTTTCGCCCTTGTCCGAGAAGACTAGGTGTAGATCTTTCCTACCAGAAGATCAGAGGTGTGGCAGAAAGACAGCAGTAAGGAGGAGCCAAGGAGTAGCAGTAGAAAGGCTGCAGAAAGAGTCAGGAGCCCAGAGGAGGGGACAAAGGAGGTGAGGGGGTGGGGGCAGAAAGTGGAAATGAAAGCAGACAACAGAACATTGCTAGAGAGCAGGAAAGGAGGTGAAAGGAGACAATTTTAGAGAAGAACATTTTTCGGTCGCTACCCGGATTCGAACCCGGGACCTTTTGAATGAAAGGCCATCACCTTAACCTCAAGGCCTCGAGAACCCCCTCTTTTTTAAATTCAGATGTTTCACTAATAATTTGTGTAACGACGCGGTGGAATCAGACGCTCATCAGTTTTTGTCATCAGTTTTTGGGAATGTGGAGTTATTGGTATAATTGTGAAGCTTGTTTTTTTGCCTTGAATTTGATGAAAAGGATAACAGAATTCGAGAGATTTGCGATTAAATGAAGTGTGAGTAGTCTAGTTTCAGAGACAAAATTTGCGACAAAAGGTGTGCCAAAGTTGGTGATTTCCAAAGGTTTAGAGTTTTTGAGAACAGAAAATTTACATCTTTTGTGTGTTTAACCAACGTTTTTCAATAAAATTTACACAAAAGTTATATGCCATGAAAGAGATTGAGACATAACTAAAAATCGCTAATTTTTTAAAAACCAAAACGAACAGATAATGCCGGTTTCTTTGATTTCATTATTTTGACGAGCGCCTGATTTCATCCCTATGCCTCACATTTGATCATTCAGCCAGGTGGTTACCGTATATAAATCCCGCGCCTGGCAGGGTCAATCCAGACTGAGAAAGATATTATTATTATAATGCCCCTGCAGAAAGACGGTGATGCTCGATACGAATTCACACCACGCTTCCGAACTCAGATATTCTACTTAAGACAACGAAGTACCTAACAACTACACCACAGACACTAGTCATTACTAGTTTCAGGTAATTAATGTTAAAGGGAACGTATCTCTACCTGAAAATTTCAAAGTACTATCAGAAATGTTTGGCCGTTTTGAGTTACTAACACCATGAGGTCAAAAACTAAATGTTCAATCAGCTCTATCATGCTGGTAAGATTATTCGGAGGGGTTATCAAGATATTCAAAGAATTGCATATGAAAATGCTTGACTTGTTGTGAAATCCAATTTTTTGTTCAATTAAATTTCTCAAAAACTAGGTACTTAGCAAACAGAACGTTGTGATTCTAAGGTAGCGGATAATATGCGATTAGTTTTGTGTAACCTGCAGAGAGAACTGTCTCTTATGGAACGATATTGGGAGTAGAACTCATCTGTCGAGTCCGTGGGAATTCATGGCAATATCAAGTCGCTTGAAAAACGATATATTTATCAAACATGCAGAGTTGGTGTTCGAGAATGTTTATTTAATGGTTCATGTATTGATCGGTTGCCATGGAAACGGAAGTTCAGTTGATTCTGTGGAGCTGCTTACGGGGCTTGGGTTTCAAGTGCATAGGCCAAAAAGTGCCGGTTGGGTATAACAAAATTGCTTTTCACTCATCGGCACCAAAATCGATTTGTCGAGATTGGTGGGATTAAATTCGAATTGAAGCTCGGTCATACAGAGCCCTGCTAAATTGAAATCTTGGAGGAAATAAAATCCTTTTTGAGGTATTGTAATTGTATTCAGGATCTTTTTTGCGCGCCACTTAAATGTTCAACAAATCCGCGAATTTAAGTCGTTCGTGAAGTTTAAAAGGTGTTTAATATTGTCCAACACTAGTTTAGTAAACACAATAGTAAAGTTGGACTTTTGTTTGGACTTGAATTTATTTTTATTTTTCAATTCCGCATTGTGTTTGGTTTCATAATGTGTAATGTGTATCGATCTGAGTTCTGTCATATAGCAGAGGACGAATCGAGGGTAAATAAACATTTCACTTTTTTTCGGCCACCTATTGGGGCAAGACATACTGACTTTCAAAACGAATCAAAAACAACTATGACAAATTCACACTGTTTTGGAAACGCAGATTTGTTTCAACATAAAAAATATCTTGGTCCGTGTATCTGTGTCCATGTATATCTGTGTCCACATAATCGGGTTCTTGCTTCCGTGCATCAATATATTATACGTTCATCTCTCTGTTCCCATATATCTCTGTTCGAGTGCCCATGCATCAGCATGTATGTCCATGTGTCTGTTCCCATATAACCGTGTCTATGCGTACTTGTCCATCATAATGATATCCGTTAGCGTAAGTGTATGGGTTTAATGCTCGCACTCGGATATTAACAACCCTGTCAACTCTATAAGCTTATCTAAGAGGTTGGACCTGCGAATTTAATGTCAGTCACCGATAGGACCGAACCAAATGGATTGAAGGCTTTATAAACTTCGGAAAACGATTCGAGATCAAGAACGCCCAGTTGCAGTTTCAAACCTGTGCCATCCGCTCCGTGGTACAGCATTATACCAACTGAGCCAACGGAGCTTACTGTGTATCTCTGTGTTAATAACAACAAACATCCAACGAGGAATCTTTTTCTGTTTTTCAAATACGCTATAAAAAATTCAACAGACTTATTAAAATGCATGTAAATGCCTATTTCTATTTTTGACTGAATCATAAGTAATTGAGGGCATCCCATGTCTGAGGATCATGCTGCAGTGGATTCCATCACACTGTGGTGTCTTAGGAAATGAGCAGGCAGACAGAATGGCCAAACTAGGAGCACAGAAAGAGCAACCAGACAACAACGTGAACTACACAGAAATAAAAAATATTATAAATACACTATTTAAAGCACCACAGACACCAGATAGCTACCATGAGCTGTTCTGCCAAGAACAAGTGATTATCTCCCGACTAAGAACACAAAACACAAGACTGAGACAACATATGCCAGATGTTTTAAACTAAAACAATCAGTGTGGAGAGGCTGACCAAACTGTTGAACACATCCTTCAGCACTGCAAGACACACAGGGTCCTGAGACAGGAAACGTGACCAACCCCACTGACACTACAAGAGAAGCTATATGGGCCGCCACGTGAACTGAGCAGGACGGCCCAATTTAAGACAGATACCAGACTTCAAGTGTAATGCGATCGAGAAGAAGAAAAGAAGAAGACTGAATCTTTATTTCAAAACAGTCTTTCCTCTTTCACAGGGACTTCCGCATTTCAGTGGATTTGTGTGGTCTACAATAACTTTGTTCTCGTTTTTGTGTCCACTTGCCGTAAATGCTGCCCAGAATACAGTCGAAATGATCTAAGACGGCCACCCATAATCGAGGGGGAAAAGTAGACGTTATAGACAGGTAGTTGTCGTACACAGTGTCACTATAACGTAAAAAATACACAACGGGGAAATGAGAACCCTATTATAGTACAGGTGACGAGCGCCTGATTCCAACGTGTCGTGACACATACACATCATCATACCGTACAGTTTTTAAAAACGTTCTTTCAGTTTTCACGGGTAAAACACTTTTCATTATGTCCCATTTTCCCATACCTTTCGTTGTTGGTAATATGATTCCTCTGTGTCTGCGATTTTGGCATCACTTTCATGTAACTTAAATGTCACTCTGCTTTCGTCAAACAAAAAATTATAGAAAATAATTAATTAATTCAGAGATGAGAAAGATTTTTCTGCATTAAGATGAGAAGTATCAAATTCGTTGAATTTTGAGAACACCAAATACTGTGTTTAAAAATTGTGTCTGTTACATTTCAGACTATTATTAAAGAGTCTAAAATGTCAAAGTGAAAAAGGTAAACCCCTTACGGGTAAAGCAAAAGTTAACCCCCCCCCCCCAACATCCTGTATTAAATAATACATAAAAAACTAAGTTTGCCGGATATTCGAACTCAATATTTGAAAAAGAAAGGTGTAACAGAATCATTTTCTTTAAAAAGTGAAATATAAAGACAAATAACAAAGTAATCCCCTTCTCTATCTTTTTTTTCTGAGGAAGCTTACGCATTTTAAAATTGAAAGATTATTGATGTCCATATTCTATCATTCAACAATAGAAAGTGTGATCAATTTCTGCATGACAGCATAGGCCTGGAACGCAAGACAACAAGATAAAGACAAATTGAATCGATTAATACAGAAAGCCTGCAAAAAATAACACCTACATTCCCCTACTTCGATGAAATATACAGACTTAGACAAAAGTTAGGGATCACTTGCAAACACTCTTCTTGGGTCGAACTGCACGTGGGCGTTTTTTTGGACAGACCCAGTGGCTTGATGGAGCTGCCTCAGGCGGACAATGACAGAATCAGTGCGAGCCTTCTGGCAACTTCTCGGGCTCCAACTCCATCCTGCAGCCACGCTATAGCCCTGGCACGATCAAAGTCTCTCAGCTTTCGTTTTAGTGGCATGATGATGCGATACCGGATTTTGCGCAAACAGTGTCTTATAATGCTACCAAAGTGAGCACAGTTCGAGACTGTACGTCTGTTTATGACGTGCACCAGACATTTTAACTGAGGAAAGTCCTTGGTGTCGCACACAAGTCGATAAAAAACAGCAAATTTGGCTAAAATTCCCCGAGAATTTCCGTGTTTCACGTGGTGGTTTTGTCCCTTTATAAGGCTTTGTAGTACACGTTGGTAACCATTAACACTTTCAGAGCAAACATTTGGAAACATTCCTTGCTGTCTTTTTTCGGCTGTTCTTAAAGATTAGGTCAAGGTGGTCTTTAACTTTTGTTGAAGTCTGTACATTATCGCTTGCACTAGAAAAAGTAATCCAATCGTTTTGGACAGTAAACACTTCTTATTCCCTCAAATAGAAATATCAATCAGAAGTACAAGACCTAGGCGTCTGAACTGTAACAAAGAGAGATACAGAAGGTCAGTCTTACCATCATCCATTAAACTTCTACCCTCTTAATCATATTGTTGTAAATATTCCTAAGACTTTTAAGGTAAAGTATGCATCAGAACACCGTTGAGTTACAATCAGAATACTGAGTATGTATCTACCTTAACTATTAATGTTTATAATTATTGTTCATTTATATTATGCAGGTGAGGTGAGCCTGTATGTGAGTGTAAGCATACTATCACATTATTATTATGGTTATGTGCACATCGTACGTGTGTGGAAGAGAGGATGTGTGGCCAATCTGCCTGGGTCTGGACAATAAAGATGCATCTTATCTTCTCTTATCTACCTTATCTTATCTTATCTTAAAATCTGCTTTCCTTCCTATGATCGTCACCATCACCACTACCACCAGCAACAAAAACAAGAACAACAACCACAGAAACAACAACAGACCAATACCAGCACCATTAACAACAACAACAACAACAACAACAACAACAACAACAACAACAACAACAACAACAACAACAACAACAACAGAAACAACAACGACAGAAACAAAAAC